ACACACACACACACACACACACACACACACACACACACAGAATTGAGAAAGTACTACTTTCTGGCATACTTATGCAAAGTTACTTTTCCTTCGTTATATATACAAAGTATACGTTTGTGTCTTTTCTATCGCGTACAATATGTATAACAAGCTGTTTAGGAACCGTGTTGCGATTCAACAAAAAGGTATATTATTGCAATGTATGTCCTGACGTTTTATCCAAAGATATAGAAATCATAACTTCTCATGATAGACAATACCGTATTCTACGTAACGTGTTATTAATTATAAGACACTTAACACAAAAACCATAGAGACTTTAAAAACCACCGACTAATGTGCATTAGCAGTGACATAAATGTGAAATACAAGTGATTGTTTACAAGTTAATGTATCGTGAACCTTATGTATAGAACTAACCGTGCGATTCATTTCCGTGATATAAATTATATACATATACATATATACGTATATATGTATATATAAGTCCTGGTACGGACTTAATAAATTTACAAAGTTCACTATATATTCGACGCTTGTAAGTATAGACACCTTCTATATAAAAGTTTAAGTTTCTTATGATATGAGGAAAAATCAGATTAACAAGAAAGAAGGTGTGAGAGAGAGAGAGAGAGAGAGAGAGAGAGTTATAAGTATCGAGGCCGACTTGAAAATCAATTGTGAAATTTATATTGCCATTCGGAATATTGACTCCACTACTGTTTGTATTCTCTATTGATACATCTCCACTTCCTTGAAAGCACAAATTTTATAGTGAACATAAATTGAGATAAAAATGATACAATCACTAGCGAACGTGTATCTCGACCGGATTATTTTTAGCGTTATGTCCTGTGTTGATAGATCGATGTATCATAAGCACAATGTTGTCGAGTACGAGCAACAAAAGTATACAAGAGAGACAAGGAAGTCGAAGTAGGCAACACATAACAACACCGAGAGAATATTGGCGCTTGTGAACATGTGAATTATGTACACACGTCTAAGAGTTACCAATTTATCGTGCACGACAATAACATCCGTGTGTTACCGTGCACGTCAGTTCAAATTTACAGACCGTCAATTATTTACATTCTGCTTCTCACTCAAACTGGAAAATCTGTCAAGAACGTAGCGAGAAACCGAGAACGAAATATATGATTTAACGACTATTTTCTCAATGGTAGAGAACATGTGCTGTCTTTGGGAAAGTAATCTATCGGGCCAATATTCGTTATTACAAAGATAAAAATTATACCAAAGGGATCGTATGAACATTTGCTAGAACGAACTAAGTGATTAAGTTGCAAATGAGACTGCGAGGAGATATATTTGTTATGTTTTAACAGTATATGCCTGATATAATTTAAATGAACAATGGCATTAAAGCAAGTTTAATTATGATTTCTAGTCATACATATATATATATATATATATATTTACACATAGGCACACAAAGTACAGATCACTTTGTGTTCCACGAAATTTTACTTTATTACTTTATGAAAAAAAAAGTATTATTTTTAATTGTAAATCGAGTACACTATTTTAGGTATCCCATAGATTTTGAACACAGTTGAACATACGGTTTATTGAATAGTTTACCCGAAAAATAAAGAGTAAAATCCTCTCGAGAGACATTGTACCGTTGTTATGCTACAGTAGAAATTATTCGCAGACACGACACGATGTCGCTTTGGTATTATATTACTATTTACAAAAATATATAACTTATAATTTATTTTGCCGATAACTCCGACAAAATAATACACCATATTTGTGATTACGTTTACGAAAGCATATTCTCTTCTTATCTCTTTCTTGATGTGTCATACGCGGAAAAATGGTCGCAGTTCCTATAACTGAATGAAGATCAGACGAAGACTCAGAGGACAGAAGACTATATCTCTGTTATCCTACCGAGAAACTTCGTCTGAATATTTGGCCGCGTTAAAACTCGATTGAGATAACTGAGAACACAACTGATTAAGTAGAAATCTCCCGCAGAAATTTTTCTGTTTCCACAATCGAGTTTTCGTCTGGTTCCTGGGCAACAGAATATCAGTTACACGAGCAGAGTTTCTTTGCGTGTATACGTGTATACACATAATATATACTTGTAGCATAACAACCGTACAATTCTTCTAGAATGATATCCGCGATAAGAGATTGTTTCATTACGATATTGTATTAGCAAATTATATTTTCTCAATATTTTTTTAAATAGCGTACAGAGGAAATTTTCACGGCGCGATGTCACTTCATTCGAACGATTGCTATATCCATCGAGATGGATTTGATAGAATAATAAGGAAACTATGCATTATACAGTTAGACTTCAAATTGTATATAAGTAGAGAACGAAGAGAGAGAGAGAGAGAGAGAGAGAGAGAGAGAGAGAAAGAAGCATATAAAAATATTTATTGCTTAAAAATGTATGATAAAATATAGATCTTAGAGAGTAATATATATATACATACATATATATACATAAAAAAAATATTGTAATACCCGATACACAGACGTGTGCGTGCGCGACGAATGTATGTGAATATCTTGCACGAATGTGTTTATGCGCGTGTAAGTATACATTTGCCACTCCCTACGCATAGGAATTATATACATGTATACATAACAATCATTATATATACAATATAATGATTGAAACATATTATATATATGTATATATCATAGATATATACATATATATACATATATATATATATAATATGTAGTTAGAAAGCGACTGTACTGTTAGTGGATATTCGAATAACGTTGTATAGTAGATTCTGATTGCTATAATTATATTGAATGGGCCAAAGTTGTAAGAAATTGTCTTTATTTGACTAATCGATTGAGATGAGTGAAATATAATAATTTATCGAATGTCGTATATATATATATATACGATATACAGAACTTACGATGATTCGCGCTGAATTGCAAGACCACTGATTTTTTTTGGTGCAGCCGCAGTCATTTGCGTTTTTTTTGTGTGACCGAAATTATATATATTCTCAAAAATAAAAACAACGTTCTGCGAATTATTTCTTCATTATTATTATCATTATAACGATCAGTGCGTGATGAGTAATGGAGTATAATGCAGAGAAAAAGAAGTGAATGTACATTTAACATTAAGAAAGTCAATTGAATATCTTGCCTTTCGACGGACACTTTCCTCGAGAAAATATGTAATCTTTTAACTGAAATTTTGGATAAACGTGGAAATTCTACAGGATTGGTACTTTCGTTTACATAGAATAGTGGTCGAGATTATATTTACTGGCTTAAGTGCCGTGACAGCAAAGAGAAGATAAACAAATTCTAAAGACAGCAAATTATTGTATTTCATTAAGCCAAATAAGACCATAACGTATTATACAATTTACAAGATAAGTATATTCTAAATGTATGAAATAAAGTTGTATTCAAAACGAACGTCATTCCTTAAGAATCTCGAATCTTGCAAGGAGAGGTCTCTTTTTTTTATTTTTCAGCTCTTTGTAGCAACAACTGTTATATATGCTGTGTGTTGAAAATGAATATTATTGAAAATATATTATTAACTCCAGTATCAGCAAATAATGCTGAGTTTCATCTGGCTCTTTTTATTACGAATTATTACTGAAACACGTGTGAGATTTCAGTCGGACGATAACATATCGACGGTATCTACAGACTTCGATTAATACCGACTCATCGTTTTTATTAACATATATCGACTAATGATGTATCGCTAACTTGACAGATGACGCCAGATCGGCGATAAATTATCGCCTGCTAATGATTATTCCGCGGGACATCTGAGATTTTTACGACTCGGTGGCTGCTGGAAAGCGCAAAATATTGCACCTTGGATTCAGTATGTTTTTGCGCAACTGTAAACTATTATTTCATGTTACTTTATCACGAAGAGATAAGAATTGCGATCATACGGGGATGGGAAATGAAAATCTTCCGGACGATATTAATGTCGACGGCAATTTAATCGACGAAACGAGGCTCGAATTTACGGACAAATTGAAGTCGGATATATTTCTGTTATCGTCGATCTCACGATCGCCGAAATCGATTGCAGGGCGCGCCAGAGCAAAACGACCGAAAGTCGCTCCGCGACCTTTGCCGGTGCGCGAACCTTCGTGACGCTCGAACTGATCGTTCGGAAAATCAGCGGAGCGAGAATTCAGCGTCTCTCTCGGGGAAATTCTCGTGCGACGAGACGAAAAATCAAGCAAACGGAAGAAAAACGAGACCAGACGACATATTTTGCGACTCCTTCTTTCTTTCCGTCTCGCTGTATCTGAAGCGTGACGATTAGATAAGGCCTCCGGTTCATAGTGCGTCCGCGGTGCAACCTCATAAGAGACCGAGATGCCCGTGGGTCGGCCTCAGTTAAAGCTGCGTGTGCAAACCGGCAATTATTAAGCGGACGGCAGTGGATCGCTTCTACTCCCCGGACCGCTGTCGATCAACACACGACGCCGTCACCGACCACTCGTCGTCGACTGTTCATTCTCATATGTAGTGCGCCGTTCCTATTTCTCACCTCGCGTTACACCTGCTTCCGATCGAGAGATCCCGCGATAATCCATCCGATTCGCCGAGTGTTCGTCGATCGGACAGCACAGTCGCTGTGCTCTCGCAAGCGGCGGCTGGGCGAGCAAGAAGAGACACTTCTTCCTCTTCCGCCGGTTTCCTTTACCCGCGACGTTCACGCAACCACCTCGTCGGCCCTCAAGATCGAGGCATGACTCCTGGACATAAAGATTTATACAGCCCGGCTCGTGACTCGTAATACGTCGGCTGGATCGTCTCGAAGATCGCCGACAGGCGCGAGCAAGGAGAGCACAAGATGCCCGCCTGCTCCAGCGAGAACACCTCGAGATGGTCCTCCAGTCCGCCGATATCACGAAGCAACAGTGCCTCGCCGCCGTTACCGAGCTCACCGTTGTCCACGTCGCCGCGCAGAATGTCGCCGGTGGCCTTGAAGCGTTCGACCTCGTCGAACGTGTTCGCGTCGACGTCGCACGCACCTCCGATCAACCTGCTGTCACGGGCGTCGTCCGCCTCGAACATGCCGATGCCGGCGATACTGTCGCAGAGACGGCAGCAACGTCAACAACAGCCGCCTTACCACCACCAGCTGAATCACCAGCAGCAAAGGGCACCGAGCACGACGACAGATCGGGGCAGCGGCTCGCTGCTGGCTCGGCTCTTCTCCTGGTACTTCGGCCTGTTGGCCGGCCTCCTGCGGGGTGTCTTCAACGTCATCGGCTACGCCATCTGGGCGCCGGCTCTCTGGGCCTCCGCCTGGGTATACCTGTTCTGGGTGATCCTGCAGCTGTCGTTAGCCGCCCTCAAGTGGTTCCTCACGGTGCTGCACACTCCGGCGTACGAGCGGTCGCGCAACAAGCGGTGCGTGCTCATCAGCGGCGGTAGCACGGTGCAGGCGGTGCACTTGGCGCGGAACTTCTACAAGGCCGGCGCCCGCGTGGTGGTGTGCGAGCACGAGGGCCTCTTCGGCCTGGCCAGATTCTCGACCGCCTGCTCCAAGTTCTACACGATACCGCAGCCGGGTGCCCGGAACGTCGTCGAGTACATCAAGGCGCTGCGCGACATCGTGCAACGCGAGAAGGTCGCCTACTACATACCGGTGAGCGCCGCCAACACCGCGTATTACGACGCCTTGGCGAAGCCGCATCTCGAGATCATGGGCTGCGAGTGCTTCGTGCCGGACGCGAGCGAGGTCACCGCGCTGGACGACCCGTTGGAGCTGCTGCGACGCTGCCGGCTGCTCGCCCTGCCGAATCCCCAGCACTTCCTCCTGCGCTCCATGCAGGACCTGTCCGAGCTGTACGAGCAGAACGCCTTCCGCACCGGCCGCTACGTCATGCTGGCCGCTGGCCCCGCCGGGATGCGCGACCGCGCCAAGGTCCTGCTGCCGCCGACCGCGCGCGAGTTCCGCAACCAGCAGCACGAGATCAGCGAGTCCCGGCCGTGGGTGGTGATCCGCGACCCCGGCGGAGACCACTTCATCACGTGCACCACCTTGAAGGAGTCCCGCATCGTCGCGAACGTCACTTGCCGGGTGGACGAGGCGCGCGGGCTCATACCCGAGGAACGTCCGGAGGTGACGCGCTGGCTCGAGCGCTTCTTCGCCCGCTCCTTCGGCGGCAGAGTCAACGGCCACTTGAGCTTCCGCCTGGCGGTCTCGGAGCAGAATGGCGAGCTGGTGTCCATCGGCTGCCGCGTCGGCGTCAGTCTGCCCTACGTCTGCCACACCGGCGTGCATCCTCGTCTGGTCTGGAAGCCCTGCAGACACTTCTCCAGGCAGAACTCGGGCCTGCTGGCCACCCCGGACAGGCATCCGCTGCTGTCGGACGCCGTGGCGAGCGTCTTCAAGCGCTCGACCGGCGAGATGGCGACCCACCTGTTGGGCACGGTGCTGGACAAGCGAGAGGCGCTCTTCGTCTACTGGGATCCACTGCCTTACTGCGCTTATTACCACCTGCAGTTGCCCTGCAGGCGCATCGCCGCGATCATCAGGGCGCAACCTGCACAGCACAATCCGTTGCTGACGGTGGTGCAGTAAGAAAGGAAGCCGCGAGCAGGAGGGAGGGAGGGAGAGAGAGAGCGTAAACGTTGTCGCATCCATCGTCGCACGAGGGGATTCCGGATGTGTACAACTGGCTGGCAACCACTCGGCTGTTCGATAGGTGGTCGATCTGGACACCTCACGTATCGTCTCCGGGAACAATGTACGTGCCAAAGAGGTGGTGTCCGAAACCCAGGACGAGTTCGTACTTATTTTTTTCATTGTGAGTAATTGTGCGGAGAGTGTGAGAGACATTTATTTATTGGGGAGACACCTCGCTCCTCTGCCGAAGCGATCGTCGGCGAAGAGCTACGTGCGACACGAGCGAACGTAAGAGACTCTGAGACGATTTTGTCGAGCGCGTAGAGAGTGCGAGAGTAGCAGAGAAAAAGAGAACGGAAGAGAGACAGAGAGAAAGAGAGAGAGAGAGGCAGGGAGCATGTATGCATGTGTGTACGTACGCAAGTACGCTAATCCTACCTTTCCATCTTGCTAATTAAACGACACGTTAGTCGATAATCGTTAATATCACATTCATGGGAACACATCTCCCGATTCGTTTTCCAGAGGGAGGGAATAACATTCTCGACAAAGAGGAAGATCGCGGCCGCCGATGATCGCGCTCGCACGCTCGTTCGCGGCGATCTCGAATGGAACTTAAATGACAGTGAATGAAAAATAGGTGCAAAGGTCAAGTTCAGCTATATCGCGTTAAAAATACACACGGCTCTCTTCGGCGCCGTGTCACCGTCATGAGCGTTGCCGGTCCGGGGGAATGTGTCGGAGGAGCGCGACCGCGCAGATGACACGATGACGGGCGAAGGAGAAAAAAGAGCACACGTGCGAATCGCGCGCGCGCGCGCGCTATCAGTAAGCCGATTGAGCACCGAGCGCAAGCTGCGCGTGAAATATTATTATAGTATTCTCCGGCCGATCGTGCTTGCGCACTTTTGAGATAGCCGTCCCGATATAGGACGGACGCCGCGGATCCGTCGAGTATGGAAGTCGATTCCGCGACAATCAGTCGACCGAATCGAACATCTTGTCAGAGATGTAGAAGAAAGACTAAAGTAACTACTCGATCAGCCGGAATCTAAAGCCGGTATTCACAGTCAGATCTTGGGCTTAATATCGTCTTAAGTTCATCTTCGGATACTTTGCAGCCAATGAAACGAACAGCGTCTGAAGATGAACTTGAGACGGTCCTAAGTACAAAATCTGACTATGAATATCAGGCTTAAAACCCGTATCAATATTATCAATTGTTTGGAACTTGTCTCACCTGAGATACTCAGACCTGAATTTAGAGTTAGATTTGAGTTGTTTTCTTTTTTTTTTTTTTTTTTTACTTAAATCACATAATATATACGACGTTACATTTATGAGCGCAATTCGATTGGGAAACTCCCATCTGACTCTATATTCGAATCTGAATATCTCAACCGACACAGACAGTTGAACCTGCAAAAGCAGATTATGCGCACTATCTGCTGTTAATTTTGTCGGCAACTTGTTAACTGAAATACAACAAAGGCTGCTGTCTACTAGCAGAGTATGTATGACAGATTGACGGCAGAAACCGAGAAAGATCTCTGTTGTTCCGTCACCATTTAAACGTATTTAAATGGAACATCCTGCAGATCCTGCTCGGTTTTTGCCGACAATCTGCTGTCAATCTGCCGGCATACTGCTTTTACATTTTACTCACGGTCCTGTGAGGCAAGTTTCAAATAACGACTATTAAAATATTCTGTTTGCTTTCGTTTTTCTTCTTTTTTTCTTTTTGGAGAGGAGATATACGAAGCGTCTCTCGAAGAGAAGACGGTTTCGCGATGATGCTTCGAGCTGCTGTTCACTGTCGATTTCTAGATCGTGTTCCATCGATGTTCCTCTAGTGCGCCATGTGACGAAGGGGAGCAATGACCAACATGCGTCACAATTCGCGATCGTATCGTCGATCAGATCGAATTCGTTCGAAATCGCGTTGTTTGCTCCTCGTTTACGCACAGCAAACATGTATCGAATGCAGGCGAATGCATTCCGCGAGCGAGCGAGCGAACGAGTTGCTGGTTGGCTGACGGTGTTCATAATCTCCTCGCGACGCGAGATGTACGCGTGCGAGGCTGTAAATAATGTCCGTTATAGATGGAAGAATGACCCGGGGGCAACACTGGTTAACGACGGACTTTGACAGCCCGGGGTCGCCGCTTCGTGGAGAGGGAAAAAGAGAAAGAAGGGGGGAGAGAGGGAGAGAGAGAGAGAGAGAGAGCGAGCGAGCGAGCGAGTGAGTGAGAGAGAGAGAGAGACACCGGCTTCGCATTGCCGGTATTATCTGCCTTCTTTCTCCTTTTTTCACCTCTTATTTCCCTTCGACCCCTCCTCCCAGACGCATTTCACTCCCGACCGCTTCTTTCTACGAGGAGATAGATACTCCCGCCGACGTCGCCGAGAGCGATCGGCCACGTTAAATTGCAACCCTCCGATTGCTAACCGTCCATGGAACGGGTTAATTAATCTCGAGCAGAGCAGAACCGGTCGTCACGATCCTGCGTTGCGTTTTTCGCTACGTAGTAGACACGCCGAGCGAAGAGATCGGCGAGACTCTCGTGCGATCCTTTAATTTCTATTCAAATCTGGTGTAATTAAAAGAAGCATTATGTAGTTACTGACTTTGTTTTGTATTCTCCGCGCGCCTCGCATTCCAAATGATTGTAGACTTGCTCCATATTATCGATCGATCGGAAGATCGAAAACTGTAACTACGAAGAAGATAAGCCCCGACCAGACGTGTCTGGCAAAATAATCGGGCGCGCTGATCATCTTTCGACGATCGTGGGAAACGACGAATGGAAATGTCGCGACGGCAGCGGAAAACTTCGGTCTGATAAGATGCGAAAACTATTTGGCAATAGTTTTATCGCCGACGGCGCCGTCACGTAGCCACGTGACATCAAAAATTATGCTAGCTCGGATAGAACGAACCGGTACTGAGAGTTCCAGATATAAAGACGATATTAGCGGCCGCGACTCGTAACCGAAGACGAAGCGCATGAATTGAAGTTATTTCTGGACGGAAAGCATTGTCAAATAAGGAATCATTCAAAATTAACGCGAAGGACCGAGTCGTTTTCGTCTCGAGAGTGGCAGAAATTTCGCAAGCCTCGTTTCAGTAAGCTGCGTCTTCTTTACGCGACAGGCAAGATTCACGTCACATTCTACAACTGTTTCAATATTTCTACGTAAGTATAATTTTAATTGATTATAATTAATTATAATTAACATGTATAAACAAGCAACGAGAGAGGCTCGTTTGATTGTTTAACTCGCCTCTCGAGATTACATTCCTCTTCCGCCAATATATTAGTCAATATCGCAGACATATTTACGGAGGATTCTCGATAAATCCGCGCAACATCGCGATGTGACCAGTGAAGCGCGAGCGACGCGTCTTTGCTTCCTTCTTCTTGTTCTTCTCTTTTTTTTTCTCTTTCGCCAAGTCAGAGAGCCGGAGATTCGGACAACGGCGGCAATAAAGTGTGTAACGTAATCTTATCATGCGATAATATTGAAATGCAGTTCCTTGACGACGGCCGGTGAAATAAATCGATACGCCGTTTCCCTTCCCTCATTTTTTACTCTCCTTCAAGAGAAACACGCGATAAAGACGTCTATCTTTCTCATGGGCATACGCGAGCTCTCATTCACGCGGTCCGCGTCCGCCCTGCTGTCGTCTGTTTCTACTTGAAACTAGCGCCGCGCTCGCCCTATCATCGAAGGTTAACCCGTTAACGGCCGACGATTCATTTTCAGAATAAAAATTATAGGACTGAGGAATTATAAAAAAAAAAAGAATGACAGAGTAGTAATAATAATTCCGATATTAATCCGATTCCTTTAGAGAATAAAATCGATACCCGGGTAGAACAGAAAATGACAACAAAGTGACGAGAAAATAATCTAAAAGTGAGTTTTTATAATCATTTTCTCGTCATTTTAACGTCATTTTAACGTGTGATTTTTCGTTCTACCTTGGTATTGTTGGATTTATTTATTATGATTTTTCGTTAGATTCTCGTGCCGATCGATCGATCTAACTTTTGATCCATTGGGCCGAAACTTGAGGGAAAGCAAGATTGGCTCAAATCGTGGAAACGCAAACCGCAAAACCACCACGTGCACCCCCGCGTTTTACCGGGCCGCAGTCCAATTCGGGGGACACGGAGACGCGAACAGACTGTTCGCGCGAGTCCTCGCCACTTCGAAATAAAATCACGACAGTTCCGGCTTTTCCGCGGACTTGGCCGTAACGAAGCCGACGAAGTAAAAGGACCCGCTTAAAAGCCACTAACTCGGTTTGGCAGCGTGGAACGAGAAGTAAAGTCATTTCCTTAGGCAAGGCGCGCGCCGCGTGGTTCCAGGCACGGCATTGTGTGGGAACGGATTCACCTGGCTGGCATACCGATGATGGTCCGCTTACTGCCAGCCAGCCACTTACAATTTACCGTACCGTACGCCGCCGGCAATATTATTTTACGATTCAACATTATCCCCCTGTTCCGTTATTGTTCCGCGCTTTTCTCGCCGACGCGGAACCGGAGGAGAGACACTTGTTACTTGCTCGGTGGAGACGCGCGTATCGCACGCGCGCCGATTAATCCGCGTACGATAAAGCCCGAATCGAGGAGATTGTCGTGCAATCATCATTCGCAATATGTAAACCGAAAGACGCCTCGGCGTTCCACCGGCGTCGAGTCTCGCTGTTCCCGTGCGTGCTTATTGCTCGGAGATTGCTTCCGAGAGGGAATCGCTAAATTGTCGGCAACGTGGCGACGAGCAATTTGCTACGGGGGACTACACCCTCTCTCGCTCCGACTTGTCATAAACTTCTTCCCCCGTGCCTCCTCATTTCCTGCGGCGGACGTCCTGAATCACCCCCTGCGCGGCTGCATGAACTAAATCACGATCGACCGTCGAGCAACGGCAAATAATTACACTGACTTCCGAAGGGGCTTCGACATCCCAAAGTTTGAACTCGGGAGTTGCAGTTTGGAACGCAGCCAGTGGTCCAGTGAGAGAGCTTAACTTTCGGCAATTGATCAAAAACCAAGTTCTCTCATCGGCTGCATCTAAGTTTCACGGAATAAAAGTATTCACCCGTTCATCCTATCTTCGAATAGAGTTCGAAGCTTCGAATAATTCGACCTCGAATCTTCCGGACTTCGTCGTCAAATATATCGAATTATACCGAAGTTTCGAAGCTTCAAACACGCCAAATAATACTACTGCTAGTAAAGATTTTCTTTTTTTTTTTCAAACGTGCAACAGTTACGGCAACGAGTCACTTTTAAAGAGCAATTTTTCCCGCGACCCTGATAATAGTAGTGATAATAGTGAGGTCGAGACGAGCTGCACGTACGCACGCGGCTATCAGCGACAGTTGAAGCAGACGCGCTCCGGCGTACCGCTCTCACGAATTCGCGCGTCGAACGGGCGATAAGCGCTTCGTGTTTCACGCAAAAACAGAATAAATATAAACGGGAGGTGCGATACGCTACAGAAATAACATCGTCCCCGGGAGTCAGGGATGACGAGAGGTTGATTTTGCGCGTGCGATGCACGGTTAATGGTGCTCGCGTTAATATCGCTTTTCGGTATCGCGCTATTTCTGGAAAAATGCCAAAATTCGGTCAGAAACGTTTCCGAGCGATAGTGTCACGGTGATTTTCGGTGATTTCTCTGTCGGGTATTTACGCATTCAAGAAGAAGATGAAGAAGAAGAAGAAGCAATATTATGTATATCACGATCGCGACGTAAAGAGCAAAGTGAAGACGCAAAGCCAATTATACTATCGCCACACGATTTCTCGTAGTCTCCTCACCGGCCTAAGTCGATCCACCGGTCTAAACTCTCCCGAATCTATCTCTCGTCACGATCTTTTAATCCGCGGTATATTCCGCGTACGCTCTCTCTCTCTCTCTATATATATATATATAATATATATATATGTATCTTTAATATGAGTCCGCTACTGTCGGATCAGCACGTACAGATTTCGAGTTATCGAATGAGATTTCTATCACGATACGCATTACAACTGATCTATTAAACAGTCTCGGGGAAGCCGACGAGCTGTTCCCCAAGGTGGAATCGACGATTGCCCAACTCGTGGTGGAACGAACGGTGCGTTTGTGTACACGCTTTCGGCCGACCCTCGAGTTTAATCATTTCGAGCGCTCGTCACGAAATCCACGCTGCACACGTCCAATTTGGACGAGTGTGTGTTGCGTAACTCCGAGGAGGAGAAGAAGAGAAGGCCTTCCCTCGTCGATTACGGCCTCTCTTTCTCTCTCTCTCTCTCTCTCCTCGAAACAACATCGCGGGCGAGAGCGGGCGATGCACGATACCACCCGTTGTATCTAATCTCCCCCCGGAGGAACGAATGTGCAGCGAGTATGGCGAGTAAATATTGTGCCAGAAGGGGGTACTTTCGGTGTATTCGATGTATCGGCTATTGAATGCCGTTTAGTACTCGCTGCCGACCGCCTCCTTTTGACCCGCTCTCGACGATAAAGGCCAGCCTCGCGCTTCGTCGCGAGTGAGGTCGCGAGTAGATAAATCGCGAAGAGCGACCAGGCATTTCATTGTGCGTCGACATTGTCCGTTGACAGTTAGTGGACCTTCTTCTTCTTCTTTTCCTCGTAGCGACGCGTCTTGTGTGCGGGGATGCGGTTCCGGTCGCCGGTGTTGCTGCTCGCCGTCTGCATCGTCGCGACGACGGTACTCGCGGCGCAGAGGGTACAGTGGGAATGTGAACAGGATGTCGGCGATGGGTTGATCTGGCACTATGACGTCAGGAGGCCGCATCGGAGTGGTGGTTATCAAGTGAGTTGATTAGTAAGTTACCCCAATTACGTTCGAGAGATACTAATACCGTGTAAACCGCAGCTTTCTCTCTCTCTCTCTCTCTCTCTCTCTCTCTCTCTCTCTCTCTCGCTTTTGATCGCGCCGTTAAGGCTTCGTAACGTTGTACCACCGATCGTCGCACACTTCTTTCGCTCTCGACGTTATTAATCGTTAAGCTCCCAAGCACGAACGTTTTCTCTCGAACCCACCTACAATTGCAGGAGGTCGAAGCGGAGTACGGGCCGATGGACGCGAACATCACCGATATGAAAATCGACTCCTTGTCGGAGGAGGATAACGGCGCTTATTGGGTAGTGTCGGGCGGAATAGGACGCAACTACATCAAGCTGAAGTTCCGCTCCAAGAAGTCGCGAGGTCTTCACTACCGGGTTTGCCTCTACGGCCTGCGTCTGCCACCCACCTTGATGCGAGCCCCCGAGCGGCTACCTTGATGATGATGACAACCTCACCGGATCACTACCCTTTGTACCTCGCCGTGCACGAGCACCCGTTTCTTTCCACTATTAAATACGTAATAGTTGTCACTTGAAACTCGCCTGAGATACTCAGATTTTAATTCAAAGTTAGATCTGAAATTTTCTGAAGTTGATTCGTATGATATATTTGACATTACATCTGTAAACGCTATTCAATTGAAAAATTCACATCTAACTTGAAATTCAATCCTGGGTATCTCGTTTGAAACAAGTTTCAAGTAACAACTATTAATACGGGGTCTCAGACATCTGATCGTCTTCTGACATGATAGAGTGATCTCTGAAACGAATCTCAAGTGGAAGCTGTTACGTGAAGAAACGATTATATATATCTTAACGTGTTATTTGTATTCTTTATATATTAGTTGTATTCTTTATATTACCAACTTCTGATCGTCCTTAATTTTGTATCCTCGCATATGCGAATAATTGAATTCTTTTCCACATACGATGATCCATACTAACTGTAGTCCGTTGAAGAATTTATATTCTAAATTCTAATAAAGTTCGCGATTGCAATTGTTATTATGAGATATGTTTTTTCGCATAGGAAGCTTACTAGCTGCCGTAATATCGCCTGTAATAGTTACGTAAGAAAGAAACTTTTCAACACGTTTGTATATACCCAAACAGAAACGGTTGGATTAAATAACAACGCGCTTTCATGTTGACGTAAATATTATCGGTGTAATAAATTCGAGCGGAAAGCAGAAGAGAATCTCAAATAAATTCGCAATTCACGTCGTGCCTTGTTAATTTTTCCGACCGCGGACGAGGAAGCAGCGCGTCGAATCCTTCCCGCGATCGACGCTGTCGCCCGCGTAATAAATTCGTGGATTTATCGCCATTCTAATTCGGGACGTTCACCCTTCGCGTGTCCCGTCAATATAGACAGAGGAACGGAAACGCCTCGCGCAGCAGAAAGCAACGGTTCCTCCTCTGACAGAGAATTCGTCCTTCCTCATTCTGCGTCATCGACGAACGCAATAAAAGGAAACAAATATCGAACGGTATCGCACGCATATCGTGATGATCCCCACAGATTTAAGAGATTCTACATGAGAAAGCGAGAATCCCAGGTATGAAATAAATTTCTTTAAATGTCCTCTTTGAAGAAATCGACTGTGAAAAATCGGGAATCAATGATCGAGCCCTCGCGAATTCTACGATCGAAACAGTGATATTTTCGATACGACGTTTCGAAGACTCGTTTATGTGTCCCGAAGGACACATTGAAAAACTCGGCGGGCGGGGAAGGAGGAAGTTAGTTTTCGAACGCGACCGGGAGTAACCTACATCTGGAATCGAGCCGAATTCCGAAACTAAACTCACGTGACCGCGGCGATAAGCCCGGGGGGAACAGATAAAAGCGTCGGATTCCACGTGCAAAGTCGCGGAGACCCTCGAGATTGGAAAAGCATAACACGAGCGAGCCACCGCCCGATGGGGTAAGGGGTGGAGAGTAGGTACCATCCGCGGATTGCCTCCGCATCGAATCCAAATGGACGAAAGAAATATATTTTCCCTGCGTGCAGGAAATAATTACGTGGTCGAACATGCGAAGCGATATCCGCCGTTCCTTCGGGCAATTACACGAAAAGAAAGTTTGATCGGCTTTCGGCGGGCGAGCGAACGAGCGAGCGGACGAGCGGTTTCCATTTGGAAGGTGGTAGAATTTCCTGTTCGTCATTTTGTCGAGTTTGTACGGAGACAATCTCGATGTCGACTCATCCCGAACCTCGGCGAAATTGAATTCGCTCTGCGTCAAACGCGACGTCTCGAGAGGGAAAATACCCAAGCGCGATTGTTTCTTCTTTATCTGCTATTGTTTATCTTCATTATGCTATCGTCAGCACAAAATCTTGCTTACTATTGCACCGAAGATTTAATTTTTATAATTTTTTTGTTCTTATACTTTCATTAGCTCAAATCGATGCACAGCGGTAAGTCACCGTTATAATTTTGAAATTTCGGAAAAGAACCCAATTTCCCGCGGATTTCTTCGGTTTCTGTACCAAGGAAACAAAAATTCGTTTTAGAAAAATGCACGCGTGTTCGGCTAAAACCTGCTACATTTACTTTCTTCTGTAAAGAAGGGATAAAAAAAAAATCCGCGGATAAAGGTGGAAAACGGTGTTTTTCCGAAACCTTAAAGCCATAAAGTTATCGTTCGTATTTCGGCCGAAGGAAACCCGAATAAAGGCTGAAAGGAGTGTCGCGTTCTGTTCGTTTCTCCCGCTCGTTTCTTCCTTTCGCGTGTGTTGATTTGCATATTACTTCTTTATTTATTCCTATTTTCCTACGTATCCAGAATTTGAAACGTTAAATATCGCCCGGCTACTCGCGGGGGATATGTGTCGGGGCGCCCTGGTGCAAAGGCGCACCCTTCCACACGCCGTCGCGCGTGGGGACCGCGTTTAGGCGCCGCGGCGGCACGCGATCGCGGAATCAACGGCGGCAGAAGCGTCGCGACACCGGCGTCGGCGGCGCTTTAGTGGAGACCGGCCGCTCGTGGTGAACGCAACCCCAGTCGCAGCACCCCCCGTTCTCGTCGGGCTGTGCTGAGTCGAGAAGCCCTGAGGAAACCGTATCGCCGCCAGCCATCCTCCTCGTCCTTCTCCTTCATCGCCGAAGAGAGAGCACTCGCCTTTCCTTATCTTCCCGGAGAAACGTCGATCCGGACTCCGAACGTTGGGGCGAATTCGAAGGATGCCGCGGGTGAGTGGCACTGATTTTTCATTTTTTACCTTTTCTTTTCCCACGTGCGAATTTAATTAGAATAAACGAACCTGTATCATCGCGTTTTATATTTTATTTTAAGTAGACACAGCTTTCTCCAGTACGAAGCGAAATGTTGGGTTTTCAGGTACTTCGAATAACAATCGTTTTGTTATTTAAGATGACAAAGATATCAAAGATAATAAAGGGGGAAGATTTTAAGTTATCAAAAATATCCAAATGGAAGATTATGTCTTTTCTTACTTTTTCCTAGATTTTCACGTGATAGAGGTGGACATTGTATCGGCGTTAATATGCAGGAGGTAGGAAATAATAATACACACACACAAATTAATACACGGGATACACGCAAAGGAAGAAACGAAAGTTGATACTGAGACAAGACTTTCATTCGTTTGTTGATATGATTGACGTCGTCAATTTTTGGACTCAACTAGAAAATCTCCAAGGGACCGGGTTCATCGACGCGTCATCGATTCTCAATGTGTAATTGCGTAGACGTGTAGCCCGCTCTTATCATGTAATTGATCGGCGAGGTATTCGCGCGAGAGGGCTGGTTCGCCTCCGTGCGATTCGGTTAACGCGCACGATGTAGAAATTAAATCGTTAGCAACATCGGTTACAACTAGTTCCGCGCCGAGCGAGAGTTGATTGACTCCTTCCATTAGATGGGACTCCGTCCATTAGACTGCATCAATATATGCGTACGAGGAGGAGAGCCTATCATTACCGTCGTTTCTGTCACGATCGAAGAATCGCAGGTCGTAGAACTTAATAGTCACTCGTATTTTACGTTCTTCTAAGTCGCAAGCGATAATAATTCGTCACGCGTCGCGCTTGAAATGTACAATTTTATTTACGTACACATTATCCGTTTCACGCAAAACAAATGGTCGAAAAATACGCACGGTCATCGAAACGAGAATGACCACTGGTCTGGTCACAAAGTATGACGCATTCGCCGCGGGAACGTCGACGTGAAATCATAATAATCTATTCACGAGCCGGGGGTGATCCTGTCACGTGTCGCGACCTTGTTCACCGGCCGCGCGCCTCGTCCGATACGTTGCATATGTTTCTACAAAAAAAAGCCACTTTGTGTGTGTGTGTCGACGATCTCCAGGTGTAACTTTCGAGCTCGCGAAATGTACGTGATTGAAAAAGAAAGAAAAGAAGAAAGAACGAACGAAACACGTGTAGCGTATCTCACGCTTCCCCGTATGTAGATTGTATTCGGAATACATAGCTCTCGCGCGGATATAACTTTCAGAGTTTGCACATTTTCACGAGAGAGAAGGAGAGGGCGAGATGGGAGGACTGACACGAGGTGGTGAGGCAAATATACGACATATGCCGCAAGTTGCGTGCGTAATAACACGCGCGCACTTCTTTCACATGCGTGCATTAGCATTTGCACGGATCCATGGCGATGCTTACTTTAAATTCCGCAAGGGGAGGTGGAGTAGCAGAACGTGAACAGAGAGGTGGGGTCATGTGAATGACCCAAATATATAAATATTCTAATTAAAACAAAGAAACGTAAAAATCATATGGGACAATAAGCAAGAATATATTTTTGAAAAATATTATAATGATATAATAAAAATTTCCCTCCCTCCCTCCCTCTCTCCCTCCCTCTCTCTCTCTTTCTTACTGGGGAGTTATGAATAATTCCTACTTTTCTTTGCGAGGATTAACACGTGCACCGACATATTCGCCACCGTGAAATACGATCGATACGAGCAACGCTAATAATCCAGGTTTACTCAGTTCCTCCTTCTGTAAGGCCGATTTCCCGCCTTGCTGCCGGCGAGAGAACTCCACGCCGATTTCGCCGGCTAACGGGAATTTTTCTGCGATTCTCGGATAATCTTCGCGCACCATCGAGTCGTGTATATCCTCGCATTTAATAACGCAAAAACAGAAAACGTTATCGCGCACGGGTCTGAAAATGCCGCGATTTGCAAATCTGCCGGCACAATGTCCATCGTAATTACATAATCTGGTCCGGGCTGATGCAACGTTTCGATTGATATTCAACTTGACAGCAAATATATATATATATATATATATGTATGTATGTATACACACATATGTATATATACATATATAATTGACGGCTGGCGACAAATATCTCCGAGACGTTCCGTTATCGGAGCCGTAAGGAAGAAAGAAAGAACACGAAAGATGTTTAATAACATAATATTATTCAGTGTACGAGGTCACCGTGTGTATTGGTGTAATTCTTTGGCTTTCTTTTTTCTTGTTACTCATTTTAGTTGTTTCTACGCGATATTGTGTTTGGACATGAGAGCGATTATAAAACAAGCTGACCATTCGTAATTCACGTGACATTTCAACGCGCTAGACTTCGGATCTTCACCAAACTTAATCATTGGACATTGACCACGAGTAGTTTCCGCGCGCAAGAGGCGACAGTTTCTTCTTCTTCCTCTCTCTTCCTCTCTCTCTCTCTCTCTCTCGATTACAATCGTTGAAATTACGAAATAGCGCCGATGATGCAACAATTTCAAAATTCGCGTTATAATCTGCGAATTATATATAGTTCTTTCGCATAAGCGGACGGAACTAATTAGCCGTGGACAAAAATCGCGAGCGCTTATGTGGCGTTTCGCAAGGTCTATCTCGCGCCCGGGGCAAAAAGAAAGGCAGATGCAAAGGTTGTTGTAAAACTACGTGACATGCAACAAAATCATCGTTTGGCGCGTGATAAATCTAACGAGTAAGCGCCACACAATCTCCGATTCCGACTTTTCATCGATTTTTCACACGGCGCACGATAACGTGCCATCGCAGAACGTGCAGTCGTGCGAAAAAGGACGAAATGGTCTACGGATTTTTTCGGCGATTAGTGTCAATTTTACGACAATTAATCTTAATAAAGTTCACGACATGCGTGATAACGTGATAACGTTCGAGATGAGAAAATCGAGAATTCAAATTCG